ATAAGAGCAAACAAAATTTTATCAAAAATCTGATTTTCTGCTTTTTTTTTCATTATAATGTCACAATCCTGATTATGTTAAAGTGTTTATATTTAAGATGTTTCCTAAAATAAAATGATTTATGTGCTTTTCGTGATGCTGAGAATTGAGCACCAAATACATCAGTTTTTTATTTGGGGACAGGTGTTTAAGGAGGTAATTAACACTTAATGTGTAATTTAGTATTTGAGAATGTTTTAGAGTTTTTTTTTTAATCTTATGTTACTGCTGTCATTGTATTTAAATAATCGTTAAGAATGTAAACAGTGCCATTAAGCATTGCTTTTTTAAAATAAATTTAGATACAATGAAGATCTGGAACTTGAAGACGCCATTCATACAGCCATCTTAACCTTAAAGGTTAGCTCAATATCTAATAACCAGATTTATAATGATATTATAATTAGCTGCTTAGAAAATTGACCATTTCCCCCCTCCCTCTTCAATAGGAAAGCTTTGAAGGGCAAATGACAGAAGATAACATAGAAGTTGGAATCTGCAATGAAGCTGGGTTTAGGAGGCTTACTCCAACTGAAGTTAAGGATTACTTGGCTGCCATAGCATAATGATGAAGTGACTGAACAATCTGGGATTTCAGATAATCCATCTATAATACTTAACATGTTTAAAGTATGTTTTGTTTTGCACACTTTTTGCATACTAATTTCTACATGGGTAATCGACTGATGTTTTTAAAATGATACTTATAAATCATAATAAACTGTTAAATCCAACTTACAGCCTTGCAGGAGTTAGTAAAATTTCAACATAGTTATTTCCTGCCTTTTAATCACAGTTGATTGTGGACACTCCATTACATAAGAGAAGAATGAAATTACTCTTCAGTTGTCATGCACCTTTGGTTAAATCAGACCTTGATGCCCTCTTTACTACTAGATTCTGCTGTATTTTCCTAGAGCAAAACATTCGTTTTGATAAACAACTGCTTTTAGCTAAGAGAATCTGTGGACAGTCATGGATCCAAGAAGCACGTCAGGAAGCATAGGTGGTTTTAGGCACATTTAGGTGTAGGTTAATGAAATCCTGCAAGATTATACTGGTCATTTTAGAGTGCTAAGGCAGATAGACTTCCTATGGGAGATATATAAGTAAATAAATAATAATTTGCTGGTTCCTGTTGTCTTTCCATCACAGGTAGGTAACCATTTCAAAGGAGCCCTCTAGACTGATCTTTTTCACTCAAGAATGAACATAAATGCTGGTAATAAAGTACTAATACTTAATGAATCAAAAGTGTGGCTTAGGGAAGCAGCAGTTAGCGTAATGGCTATGTTGCTGGACTCCCACGTAGTCGACCGCGGTTCGTGTCCCGGACCCGGTGGCTTAAAACTCACGCCAGGCACGTGTGCGTGCATGCCCAAGATCCCAAGAGGAGAATGGAGGAGAAGGGATTGCGGCGTGACCATCCCCCCTGGGGGGTGATTTCTCGCTTTCTGTCTCTATGTCTCTCTCTGTCTGTCTGGCGAGCGCACGCGCCCTACAGTGAAAATCTCTCACAAAAAAAAAAAGTGTGGCTTAAAGATCTCCCTCATTAATGTATGCTTAGTGTAATCAGAACCATTGCTATAAATAAGGTCCATTGAAGCAAGCAATAATGGGGGCTCTCAGACGTGCTTTCATCTGTCAAGGCATAGTGCTTGTTTGTTTTTTAAGGAATCTTAGAATAAAAGCATCATTGGTCTGCTTCACAGGACATAGAGTTTATGAGTGTCATCATTCTTACTAACATGAAGACATAGTAATTCCATGTTAAAATATAGCTTGAGATTTTAATTAATGATTTAGTCCATTCTTTGTTACTAAGAACAGAAATACTAGTCTGGGTGATTTATAAATAGAGTTTTACTTAGCTTATTGATCCTGGAGGCCCAAGGTCAAGGGGCCAAATCTGATGAGGTCTTCTTGGTGGGGATTCTGCAGAGTACCCAGAGATACAGGACATCACATATAGGGGAGAGCAAGAGCTTGCACATCTCTGTCTGTCCATGTCTCCATCTCATTCCCTCTTATAATCCTACTAGGATTCAGTCATGGGGCACCACCGTGGGGACCCTGTCCACACCATAATCAGATTAAGTCTCTACCCTCTTAAGACTGTTACAATGGCTCAGTAAATTTTAGCACATGAATTTTGGGGGAATATATTCAAATCACAAAGTTAAGATGAGTTTAAGGAGAAAGAGTTTTATCTTGGACCATTTTTGACAGTATTCCCAGTTCCACCACCTACCATCGCTACTACACTCATCTTGTTAGAAGTGGCAGAAGTTTTGTAGAAAATGGGAGATTACTGCTTCACCTGCTGTTTCAAAAATTTTATCTTAAAACCCCTTGTTTAATCTCTCCTTCTAGGCTCTGGTATATTGTGACTCTACTATACAAGAATATAGTAGTAAAAAGGACCTTTGAAGGCCAGTCTCAACTCTTCCACTTACTGGCTGATTGTGCAGTCATCTTAGAGGGTTTTCTAAGGACTAAATTTGATACCACAAGTGAAAGGCTTGACATAGTTAATGGTCAGGTACCCTGCAGGTGGTAGCTGTGCTGCATTTGTTTTTCTAATACCCAGTGTTAAAAAAAAAATACAAATCAAAAAAGAGTAGAGTCATAGTTAAGACGAAAGGAAAGTGCATGTAGGTTCTCACTGGGTGCTGACAGAATTAATTATACAGAAAAAAAGGGGGAAGAATTAGCTGAAGCAAATGTGGCCAGATTCTTTTTGTGCTAATAGACTTAGTTCTGCAGAATAAAGGGTTCAAAGATATTACCTGAAGCAGGTGTGATTTAGGTTCCAGCTTCCTGACACGACTAAATGCAAAGGCGGTTGCAGTTGCAGCTGCCTTCTCCCTTTGTTCTCAGTCTATATATTTCATTGTTTTTATGAACTGTCCATTTAAAAAAATTTATTCTAGGGCTGGCAGGTGGTGTAGTGGTTAAGGGCGCTGGACTCCCACATGGTTGACTGTGGTTCAAGTCCTGGACTTGGCGGCTTCCTTTCTCACTTTCTCCTTCTCTCTGTCCCTCTGATCAAATTGTAAAAAAGTCAAGAAATAAAGTTAAATAATAAAATAATTCTTAAAAAAAATTATTCTATGAAAAAGAAAGGTCTTAACACTGTAATCCACCCCCAACCCTCAGCTAGCGCCAAGTCACGGACACATGCGTGCCCTCAAGGAGGTCTTTGCATTTGACCCAAGAACCATTCCATGCTGGATTGCCTCATAGAATGTTGCATTTTACCACTGTGCCACTGCCTGGCACTAAGCTCTACATTATTGTCCCAACTCGGGAAACTCAGTTTTTTGATGTAGCAACTCATTGCATCTCAGTCAAGAGTCTTGAATTATTTCTAACTTGAGTCTAGCTTCTCATACACAAACATCATATCATGTTCCTAATGTTCATAACCCTACCAAACATTTGATTCCATTTGAATTTTCTTAGCCTTTAAACATGTGTCTTGACTTGTTCTATCTTTTGTCTTTCCCATTTCCTTAATGACCTATAAATTTAAATTTACAAAATTATGAGCAATGAGGGGACAGAAGGTAGTGTGGTGATTAAGGTGCTGGACTCCCACATGGCCAACTGCAGTTCCCAGATCTGTGACTTAAAGCACTGGGCATGTGCGCATGCATGCCCCAAATCCCAAGAGAATGCAGGAGAAGATTGTGGCATGGCCATCTCCCTTGGGGTTGATTTCTCACTTCCCCTCTTGGAGAATAAAATGCAATGACACGTGATGTAAAAAGAAAAATCTAGACAGTTTAGTGGAATTTAGTTGAGCAAATCTTAACATGATTTGAATTGGGCAGTTTTTCCCACACCGACTTCCAAGCTACTCCAGATAGCTTTATGGTCAGCTCAGTATTTTAAGTTCCAGAAAGGAAAGTGACATACAAAAACAAAACTGAAGAATGAGATAGAAAAACAACATTCCAAAGTTCTCCTGCATTTACATATGTTAAAAGGCCAAATGTCTGTGATTAACAGAAGTCTAGTCACTGTGATTGGCTCTAACCTAGCAAAAATAAGAAAAAGCCTTATCGAAACGATATTTCAGTTTGTTTACAGAAACCAAGGAATAGAGAGGCTTTTTGCATATTCTTTAACAGTGGGAATGTTTAAAAATCATGTATCTGGGGGCAGGAAGGAGCTAAAGATGAAAGGTGGAGTACGTATGGGAACTAATACAGAACTTTAAAGTTACTGAGAGCTGATAGAATGGACATTCATTAGGTGATGGGGAACGTAAAGAGTTTTCATTTATTACTCGATAATTTTCATAGAACAAAACTGCCAACTCTTCAGTATTTAACCTCACCTTTTTTCTCATGTGTCCTGTTGGTGGTGTAGCAATTTCTCCGAGCCTCCGTCCCCTTGAAAAGGAGAACAAACTAATGTTCAGCGATGCCCAAGAGCATACTCATAGGAGTTGGTGGCCTTGTTAGATTAGAATCCTAACTTCCTGGAGATCAGTCGAGTGGGCCTGCGTTGATGTCACGTTGCCTCACGTAGTTCCTTCAACAGGTCTCTTCTTGCCACCTCGTTGTCAGAGACCTTTCCAGAACTAATGATATCTGGCTGCCAACTAAGTGGTAACTTCCTAAGCATGAGTGTGAAAAGTTAGATAATTTTAGCACTTCATCAAGGCCATAGCACTGAGTTCCATTTCCCAAAGCTTAGACGGTATATAAATGTGGTCATGTACAAGATGAGAACATAAAACTCGACCATATTCACTTTCTCTGTCTAGTATACCTAAATCATGTTTAGTTTGCTTTTCTTATGACTAAGTATACTATTCTATTTCCTAAGGAATTTTCCTACTTAAGATACTGCCTCACAATTTTACTTTGCTTTTTCTTGTATGCAGCTGTCACCAATTCTTGCCAGATTCTTCCAAGAGAATTATAACACCCTCTGCATTCTGTTTTTCTCTCACGGTCAGTTGTCAGGTAATCTGTACTGGTTCTTTCTCTCATGCCTTGGAGAAGTTGCTTCCCTGAAACCCTCTATCTTCCTGCTTGAATCCCCTCTAGTTGCTTATTTGAAATTGTTCTCCTCTCTCAATTGACTGGGTCTAAAACTTATAGGTTAGACATAAGTTATCTCCGCATTTTGAAAGCATTACCCCCACTCCCTGGTAGAGTCCAGTCTTGCTGATGGGAGACCTAATGCTATTGTATATGTATGACTTTCCCCTCTCTGCAGCCCTTGAGACTTTATATCTGTAGTGTGAAATTTTACAGTGCTATCCTTTGGTGTGGGTTTAACATTCGTTGGGTTGAGCACTCAGTAGTCTCTTTCACTGTAAAAACTTTTCAGTTTAGTAAATTTTCTGGTATTTTTGAAAAAATTTCCTCTTTCTTTGCTTGTTTCTAAAATTCCTGTTAATTGTACGTTGGACCCTTTTGTTTCTGTTCTTGGGACTCTCTTCGTTCTACTTTGTAGTAAATTTCTCCAACTCTTCTATTGATGTCTTAAAGTTTGGGGTATCACTTTTACTTTTGAAGAACTGTTTTTGCTCTGCCACGTCCTCTTTAAAAAAAAAATGTTTCATGGCCAAAATATCTTTTATTTGTGAAATTAGTGAGATTACTTTTTTAAAAACTATTTCCTTCTACTTTGTGTTGCCTTCAAATTCCAAATAAAAAAATGTTTAAAAATGCTGTACTTTGCAAGTAAGGGCAACACTTATTTACAGTGAGGAAGCTAAAGGTCAGTGTCTACAAGCCATTTTTCAGGGGCTTTATTTTCCACTTTCTCCAGAGAAGAATAGGATTTGAGGAAGATGGACGAGGAGGAGAGGGGATCCTAGCATTTTGGGAGGTTGCACAGAAGGGGTAGATGGTATTTTACCATTCAGTAGGAAAACTGAACTTTTCATAATGGCACTTTTCCCATCCTTGGTTGGTTCTTGAGTCTGTAACCCCTCTGATTCCATCTTCAGCATCATGAAGTTTATAATCTATTTTCCCTGCCCGAGGGAATGATGGGTAATGACCCAACTGCATTGGATGGAAGAGAGGACTTACGTCTCTTATACAGACTTTCTGGCAATCCCCATTTTCAATCCTACCTCTTCCTTCTACTTCCCAGTACTTGGAGTTCCAAAACCTTTCTGGGGTTTTGGTTTGTGAATTCATTTCCTTACTAGCCCCTTCTGCAAGCAGTTTCCTCATGTCTGCTGATTCCATCTGCAGACAAACTATGACTGGTTTCAGATAACCTTTCTGGCTCACTTACCTGTAAAACATACCTAATTTTTAGTTTGAGAGGATTAAATAGTTTATTATGCCAAGTCCCGGAAAGATGATTTGAAAAAATAAGAGAAAACAGTAATAGTTCACAAAACAGAAGATGTGGCCTCTGGCCCAAACCTATTATGGGCTTAGCTGGAACAGAGGAGGCTCCTGGTTTTATCGGGGAAAAGTTCCTCCTCAGGCTCCCATTTAGGTCCTGTGTGCAAATGAAAAGTTGAATCCTCATTGGTTAGTGCAAGTTTCAGTACCGACGATTGAGAAAAAGTTAAAAGCTTAGTCTGTGATCTTTCCAGAAACCGAGTACATGAGTAACAAGTAGCAAAAGGCTACTGGACCCCCTGTAAGATTTAGACCCAGTTAGGCACTGACTGTTGAAATCGGCGTATTTGGAGTTCACAATGTCCTGCGAGAAACTAGGCTTTGACTACATAGTTCCTGCTGCTCTTCTCTTCCAGATACGCGTTGGCTTGTCTCCTCTGTTCTTTTTGCTTTTGTGGGTTTATCCCCATTTTTATGGCTTTCCTGTTATTTAAGTAAGGTTTGGGGGAGGAGGATACTTAGGGTTCATTTTAAGGAATCCTCACTAATATTTCAAGTTACCTTTATTTTCTCAAAGCCTTCTTTCTGGGTGACACTAACAGGCTAGTGCAGAGGCGCCCAGTCATTAGTCCGCTGCAGACCGGCAGCACGAGAGCCAGGAAAGTGCAGTGGAAAGCTGTTGGTC